AGGCCCTTTTTTGGAGGGACTAATATTTGGAGGGAAGTTTGCTTTTTAAAATTGATTGGGCTAGCCTTATAGTTGGAAGTAAATTTACCGTTTTTGCTTTGTTTTACTTTGTATTTGAGGATAATTTTCCAAGTACAAGTCCCCGGGGGACTTATATTTGGAGGAGGGATTTAACGGAGGGTGTTTTGCCTTACCGGTTTGGGGGGCTTATATTTGGAGGGGCTTATACATGGAGGGGCTTATTTTCGGAATTTTACGGTATACTGAATTTCTCATACAGAGTTTTTAAATTGTTCGTAATATGCAAAACTCTATCGAAACTGACGGTAATTTATGCACCGAGCTTGGGCCGCCTGTGATTGTACCACAATCTTTGACCAGCCAAGACGAGTTTTCGTTTTAGGAAAGTACAAAGTTTTTCTATCAATATAGAGTTGTATTAAAATGTAAGTCAAATATATAGATGTCCAAATGTGCTGTTTAGTAATAAATGGATAGATGGGTGTTGAACACGTTTCTACTTTTTCCGCCTACGTAGCCTGCGAGCAAAGCAAACCGCGCGAGAACGCCTGCCCCTGGCACTCGCGTCTTCTTTCGCGTGCTGCTCTCGCGTGACTTCTCGCGACTCCCCCACATGGATAGTTCCTTCGCAGGCTTACTCAACCATGTAGCTTAAAAAGCATGGCGACTCCTCACTTTCCTCCCTTCGGGTCAAATAAATGTATTCTCGTCCCCAGAACCTCCTGGAGGCCGGAGTATGAGGAGGCTCTGGGGACGAGAATGAATGGCGATAGTTCCCTCACTCCAAAGACGTAGCAAGGTGTTGATATTTCTGAAGGGTTTTTAAATTGTAACAGGAGCGAATGAGCTAAAATATTTCTTTCTTTCTTTCCTTTTTTTTCCTTCATCTCTGGAGACTTAAAAAAGGGTGTCCATATTGGTCCTTTTTCATCTCTAGGGACTTACAAAGCGAAACACGTTTAGTTTTTAATAAGCAAGTTTGTTACAGCATGTCTTGCTTTCCGTGCTCGCTTGTTATTAAAACTTGTCGATTTTTAGGCCCTGTTTATGCGGAGAAAACGTTTCCCGGCAGGAGTGTCACCCACCTACCCGTGTTACCCTGAGCGTGCCAACTTTTCGAACTGTGAACATAAAAAACAAAAGGTTGGCTGGGCTGTAAGGGTCGTTTTCCTTTCCCCTCCATCCCCTTTCGACGCCAGCCACGCAGGCGAGTAATCGATCGCTAGTAAGCATCAGTTAGGCCATGTCCAACTAAACAATTAAGTAAAGTGGCTGCAATACATGAGAAACTGTAGCTCTGAGTCGGAGGAAGTGACGGAGAGTTCCGAAGCACAATTTACCACTGACCGTAGAAACTGACTGAAGACCTGACATTTCGAACCGTCGCTACGCATGCGACCACGGACCAGAGCTCGACACGTCATGCAGCCTTTTCATCTTTCTACAAATTCACTTTAATGGCTCAAACGTCAGGGAGAAAACTCTTGCCTAGTCCCCTGGCCTCGTCATTCCGCGCGGCCCTTGCGTTTCGGGTCACATGGGGCGCGATCCATGGTTCCAAAAGCAACCGGTTTTCGTTCACCTCAAAAGGTGGAATGTTTTTTGACCGTTGGAAGATCCATTGAGTTTTGGACCGAAATTTCCGGAAATTTTGGGAAGACGCCGTGCTGGGACTGGGCAAGAAAAAAACATCAGCTGCCAGTTTTTAACCAGAAAACGTTTCTGAAGCCAAAAAGCAAAAACAAAAAAGGAGATTAGCCAAAAGGGAATTAATTTTCCACGTAAATTGTTAATCCTCTAACACTTTTTGCAGCACGGTATAATACTGAATTTGACATCAACTGTGTAAGGTAAATTCCCCTCTATAAAGAGGTTTTCTGCTTCATCATTTCGTCAGACCAGATCCCTGAAAGTAGTGAGCGTACCTCATTTATTCTTGTTTGGATTCTTTTATTTATCCTTTTTTCTTTCATATTCCCATAGCAACTGGGTGTAAATATTTGTCGCTTTAATAAATAGGAAAACAGTCAAAAGGCATTTCAGGTATGATTCGAAGTCTGATTCTGTCTGTCGGATTCGAAGCGCTTTTACTTAACATTACTCAGTCATTGTTTATAGATCAACATGTACTATGTTAACTGTTGCCCTGTGCTTTGAGTCAATTTTGACGCTGTATTACTGTCAGTACTATAGCTGTACATACGCGTTTACCCAAAATACCTAAAAAGTTATAAATTAGGGTCAAGAGAAGTCACGCTGTTAAAAACTTGAAATAAATGAGTTTTTCAGGGAGAAAGCTCGGTGGTTCATGCGCCGTAGGACGCCCTCGTAGTTCTTAAAAGTAAGCAAACTTTAATAACGTTACTAGCTGATATAAAAATCCCTGCTCAAACCTCAGCCTAATTTCATCTTTACCTTCAAGCTTAGCATTTGCTGTGAGTAGCTTGGACGAACTGGAACATTTTTCATTCCTTCTCCTCTGCTATTGCTAAATAAGGACATATTGTTTAGCTTACTGATATTCGTTTACATTTAAGTTATACTAAAATTTAAAAACATCACGGAATAGAAAATTGCTTCTCTGACAGTTAAAGAAAAACTATAAACAGACTCCCAAAAAGGTTTGGTTTATTTGTCCTCAATTTGCCAGGTTTAGACCTACGATTCTCCGGATGCGCTGCCTAAAGTCCAAGAGAAAGACAACTGCATTTCACTGCGGTCCGTTAGCAAGCTGTCCCTCCCGCCGCACGTGAAACATATTAAAAGAACTAAAAAAAATAAAACATCGGTGTTCCTTTACAACATTAAGAGCGTAGGTGTGTAAGTTTATCCATATGGTTAATGAGCCAAGCTTTTAATTCTTTGTTGGTTTGTCATAATCAACAAATTCGTTCAACAATGCCGAAAGACCCTTACCCAGGTGAGGTAAACATGTTCCAATAAACTCTAACATTGTTTGATTTGTATAGACGTTCCATTCAGTTGAGAGCTTTTCTTCCCATTTCGATGAAGTTGATCGAGACGAAGGCACTACTTCATGGCGACTCAAACTCGATGTAAAAAGGTAAGATGATATTTATTGCCAAAGTATGTCACATTAATTTTTACCAGTGAAAGAATCTATTCATGAGACTTCAGATGAAAAGATTTAACACTTGTTTTTATGAGGTGATTCTGGAAGGATATTTTTCAGCACGCAAGAAAAACTGGAAACTCGGTTTTCAATTTAGTTTAATGGCTTCAAATTAAGAGTTCTGGAAATTCCTGGGTTCAAAAATAGAATCAAGTGAAATTTAGACTCCAAAGTATCACTAAATAATTAATAATTTCAAGGTGAATTGAATATTATTGAATATAATTCAATTAGGAAAGTGTATAAGATTGACTCGCGTTGGTGTCCTCAAATCTCACGCAGAGTGTGCCGTCAATAGTGAAAAATTACCCTTTTATTTATTTCTTAGCAACAAACTCTCCTCATAACAAAGAAGTTGAAGATGCATTAATCTACAGAAAGCGGGAAGTTGATGTAAAAGCGCTTTAGTAGAGTTTAAGAACACTTTATTCAAAAACTGCTGCCATGCCTTCACCGTTTCCCAGAATGAAACGAGGAAATGCAAGGAGAGCGGGAATCGGCCGACAGAAGAATTTCAAACCAGCCTTGAAAGCAGTAAACACTTTAATAGTTGATATTGAAAATTCAGAGAGTCCCGAAGACGAAGAGGCCATGAGTGAAACATACGATCAAAAATTATCGTCTTCTGCGTCGAATGTTACGGGCTCTAACATTGGAAACAGAAGTGCGGCGAATAGAGTTCCGTCTCCAAACCCGTTTCTCAAGCAACATAGACTCCTGGAAGAATTTGATGGCGATTCAGAAAGTGAAGACAGTGAAGGCGATTTTGAAAAACGATCCGAGGCTCGCGTGTTGACTGAAGTGGAACGGCTAGAAGAGGCGCAAACAGCTTTGGAAGACAAAGTAAAAGAAACAAAAGTATTGCTGCAAAGAAAAGACCGTACAAGAAATCAAAGAATTCAAGCGCAACAAAAATTAGCAAGGCTCGAAGCCAAACTTGAAATGCTGGATCAGCGCTTGGAGGCAGAGAGATCTGGCAAAACTCGATGGACGTTTGTCAAACGAGTTGTGCGAAAGGCCAAAGTTGGATTTCATAGTAGCGAGCTGCTGAAACGAAAGATGCCATTGCAGGGCTTGCTGGCGGCTTCGTTGGACACCCAAGCTGGCCTGGCTGGGGAAGTTGAAATTCAAGATATGGAGAGCAAAAGTGAAGAAGACGTTCAACTCGAGGAAAACTCATCTTCCAAACCACAAAAAATGTTCAAGACCAAGGCACTTCAGGAATTTAATTTGAGTCTTCAGGAAAAGCCTCAGGATAAACAAAAAGAGGCCAAATCCTGTGAAGATGCTGTAAATGCATCAACGAGAGATGAGTGTCGCAAAGGTGACAGCGATGCAGTCCTAGATGAAATGAAAGACCGCAAAGAGGTGGATAAAGGATGGCTTCGAATCAGCGACAGGCCCAAGGATTTCGTTAAAAAGATAGATATTTCAGAGACGCACCAAACCAAAGAAGCCTGGGTAAATATAAGCCAACAGGGACAGCAAATGTTTGCTAGGAAAGTATTCAGGGCCCACATGAATGGAAATGATCCGCGTCTGTCGAACACTTTGAAGGGAAAGGCCAAAAGGACCGTTTCAGGTGTCCTTGGAGAAAGGTTGACCATTGGCGACAGAAGAGCTTCGAAGAGTTCATCAGAAAAGAGTTTTGACATCAATAAAGAGAAAAGCAAACAGAGATCGCTTTTTGAAAGGGTCTCTTCCGCCTCTTCGCGACGACCTAGAGTTGTCAGAATGGAAAATATCGGCGGAACAACCAGTTTTCTTCCACCAATTCCGAAATCCGAAGCAAAGAAACGCCCAAAACAAGAGCAAATTGACAGGGCGACGGACGAAAATGACGTTGAGCTGAAAAAAGAGAGAATGATTTTAATACCTAATCGAAGACGAGTGGCCAAAAGACGAGCTGAGTTGTATTTAAAACAACTCGAGTTTGTAAGAGCTCATGGACTTGACAAAAAAGAAGTTTTGAAACATGTCGGAGAGGCGATAAAAGAGCACCGTGACAGTGAGGACATGACTGGAGAGCACCAACCCTCAACCACTCCTCGAAGCACTTTGTACTTGATAGGGGCATTATCAAGAACTCATCTCCGGCCTCCAACTGCGCATGCCCCGCAAATAAACGAAAGCTGATGCGGTACTCCAATATTTCGGTTCACATTTCGGCTTCTCGTGCGTTTTTCAAAACTCCCGGAAAACATTTCGGTTCCGCAAGTAACCATTTTAAGTGCAAAACGTTTATTAGCAGAATTGCTATTTTATTAGGGATATTCTGAGAGACCATGTTTGGTAGAGAGGTAATCAGTGATTTGCAGATCGTCGTTCGTCACTTACGGAAAAATTACGGAAACGAAATCGAGTCGAAAGGAGTCCAGTTTCCCCGCCGAGGGGTTGCCCCTGATAAAACTAATAGGGTCCGCTAATTTGCAGTGGCCCGTGATAACTCGAACATTTCTGCCTTAGTGCCACAGGAACACCAGATTCGGATGCGTTCTGACGAACGCTTCAAGTAACAGTACTGGCTGCGCCCGATTTACAAAAATAAACGCTTTGATCTTTATTAATTTTAGAGATATATATTTCAAAATTATAACTTTCATGGTGTCTATAGTCTTGACAGAGTAACAAGAAAGGTTTAAACAAGAGGCGAGAAAAGATGAAAAGTTCAGTAGCCTCAAGAAAGTGGTCTTGTTTTTAATCGCCTAAACTGACTTTCCAAATAAGTCATATAAGATCGCCAGGTGCCGTTGAAGCCCTCGATGGAGTCTGAGTACCAGGCGGTTTCATTTGGTATGTTTTTTCTTTGTTTCGTAAAAGCACGAATCCTGCCCCCGAGTTTTCTCCTTTGACCTCGGTTCAGCTTTCGCGACGATGTATTTCTTGCTTTACAAACAACAAAGGATAAACACACCGAAAACTCGCCTGTTATGCGGCTATCATTGATATCAATTGCACCCCTAGGTTGGGGGGGCGGGGTACTCGACAATGTTAAATACGTGGAGGCAATCCACCGAGGTCTAACCCCTTAGCGGTAAAATAACGGCTTTATAAACGAAAGTTATAGAAAAAAGCATCAACTTCTAGTCTGAGAAAACAGCCGATCGCGACGTCATAACTGGTTTCCCCGCGAAATGACGTCTGAGAAACGAGTGCAGAAATTCCATGCTGATGACGCGTCACTACTCAGATCTTAGTTGGCTCCTGATTGGCTAAAAATTTGCTTCAACCAATCAGAAGCACTACCCAGATCTGGGTAGCGACGCGTCATCAGTATGGAATTTCTGCGGTCATTGCTTAGACTTCGTTTCTCGGAGAAACCAGTGGTGGCAACGCGGAATTTCGGCTGTTTTCTCAGGTTAATAATGACTTCAGATTCGTCAGTTATAGCTCTCATTATATTTTTCGTCTAAGTAAGATTATATGCTAATACTAACGATCTAATATGCCATTACGTTTTCATCAAAAATTATAATGTATGTTTAAACAAAGTTCTTTCCACTGTTCTCTCCTTCTCTACCTCGCTCTTCGCTACGGGGACTGGATCGAGTAGGGAGAACGCTGGGATCGGGTTTGAAGCTTGTAATCATTTACAGATCTTCTAGTCCCTGTACGTTGTCTTCCCAGGGCTCCTCGATCAATTCCGAAACTCATAGGCTGCGCGGAAAAATGAGGCCTAGCTACTAGACAAACACGTACAATGACCAAGGCGTAGGGAAACCAGGATCACCTGATGGCCAAGGAATTCTGCTGTCCGCCTTGGTCTGATTTTTTCTCTAAGCTCAAATATCTACATAACTTGCTCTTATCTACAACGCTGGCTAAAACAGTGGTTGAGAGTTTTTTTGGTCTATTAAGGAAAATCTGAAGAGAATCCTAAAGCAATTTTTGAGTGACAAAAAAACATATATATACATGTAAAAACGATGACTTTCTTGTTGCCCTAAATCTAAATCATTACAGTTTGGAGGAAAACATGTGGATTCTAAAAAAAACATGATGTAAAAACGCCAAATAACTACCTTATTACGGATCAATTTCTATATATATGAATTTCGAAAGTTTCGCAAAAAACGAGATCTGAATTATAAGCTTACACTTACTGGGTACTAATTTAAACACAGCTTTTTCTCAAGTTTCTACGCCCAAATTGAGCATCAAGGTTTCAAAAGTGCGAATTGAATGTCGCAAAAAAGACACACGTGGTGATCGATGGCCTGCGACGGGTACCATGTTTTTTTTTTTTTGGAAAGATTTTGATGTCGCAAAGGTTGCTCATTCTTTTCATTTTCTATTGACGAAAAAAATGCCCCATGCATTTTTACTAGAAAAAAAATCACAATAATGAGAGATAAAATTGTGATTTTGTTGGTATACTACGGTTTCGAAATCGAATACTACTACTATCCATGAGTAAAATAAAATTTTGCGTCACTACTTAATCTTTGAATTCCTTTTAAAAACGGTGATCACTTGAAAAGTTTGTCAAGAACTTGAAAGAGTGTTTCATCAATCTAGTTTCCAGGGTCCTTTCCCTTATTCCTTCGGAAGAGAGAGGACCCTGGGAATGAGATCGGCGATTCTTCCGATATCATCGAACGACTTCGATCAATGTCTGGACCAGTCGGATAAAACACTCTTCGATCTTGTTTGATATCATCACTTCTATCAGTGCTACTCTCTGGGTAGCATATCGTCTAGGTTAGCTACAGAATAAGCCACTACAGCCCACACTGCTGCGCAAAGATCCAAATTATCAGGGTCTTCTACCGTCATGGTGTCGCCATTTGTATGATGAAAATAAAAGTACTTCTGATTGGCATTGTCTAAAGATCCACCTGGAACCCCATCACGTATCCAGAACGTAATATCACCATCAACCTCCGTCACAGTAAGCTTGGAGGCATTTATTGGGTTTAAAAGTGTCATGATTTCCTTCATTATAGCAGCGGCTTTTTTACTGCCCTTAAAGGTTATACCTAAAGGCGTGAATGTTCCAATGTCTGACTCCATTACCAAGCTAAAATTACCAGCGTTTGCCTTATGACGGTTGTAGTACTGCTGAGCACCAAGCAGACCCTCTTCTTCGCCTGTCCAAAGCACCATACGCATTGTGCGTTTTGGTTTAAGGTTCAACTGACGGACTACTGACAGGGCTTGCCATGAAATAAACGCCCCTCCTCCATCATCCATTGCACCCTGGCCCACATCCCAACTGTCTAGATGTCCACTTACAAGGACCACCTGCATAAAAAGAAATGAGATTTGCGCCCTAGCAAAAACGCTCAATCATAAGAAAAAGAGTTCGCACAGGGAAGTATGCACTTGTTAGCTTGCGAGAAAGATCTCCATTTCGAGTGGCAAGCAGAGAGAGCCGCGCGAGAACGCGCGAGTGAAGAATCTCGCGTTTCCTCTCGCGTGCCACTCGCGCGTTACTTCACGCGATATCCTCCAGGGACCAGTTGTTTGAAATGTGCATAACACTTTTCACTGGGTAAATCTCCAGGGCCTAGTTCATGAAAGACCGATTTGCGTTAATCTAGGATTAAAATTTTGTTCAGGTTTGTATTTTACATTCCTATGCATTGCTAAGGGTAACATTTTATGTTATCATTACTGTATCTCGTAGTAAAGACTCAACAGTATTTTGTAACCTTGAGTTGCATGTTCTTAGGCGAGAAAACCGTGCTTGAAATTTGGCTTAATAATAATAATAATAATAACTGTTTATTCACAAATCCAAATCGAAAAAGTGAAAAGGAGATAAAAGAGGTTATCCCTTTCTAGTTTATCTCCTTATTCCTGTGATAAACTTAACTATCTTTCGAGGGACCGGGCCCAGGGCTCCATCCAGTGGATAATTAGCAATTATTGAATGAGGCTGAGTAGGATATGACCGAATTCAATGATTGTTTTTTTATTCCTTCAAAATAATTCCAAGTTTGAAAACAAGCTAAAACGTGGTAACCTCGGTCTATGTAAGTTCATATCGATAATGCATCTTTATCGGGAAGTTTAGGAGATTAAGGTCTGCAAATATACTCCAAATGGCAGATGTTGTCCGTCAAGTTGTCTTCTTGCTTTTCTTATCTTGCGATGTTTTTAGACAATATTTCGACGTGAAACGAGTAAAATGTTCCGCGACAGTTCTGCCATTTTGTTCTAACTACCAAAACAACCCAACCTCGTCCCCAGGTTTTCTCGGTCAAAGGATCAATAACCTGGAACCAGGCTGTACTACTGACGTCATTTTCACGTCATCAGTTCATGACAAAATTATTTCCAAAATTGGTCAACAGCAGCTGGTTATGGTGAATTATGCGTGGGTTTTAACCAATCAGAAACGGAGAAATATTTTGAATGAATTATAACTTTATTTGTTTCCCTAACACTTATGCACTGTACTGGATAGTGGATGACCCGATGGATAGCGCTATCCAAAGTTTGAACAACCAGGGACATGAGATGGATCCTTTTGTATTTTCTGTGTTATTGATACATGTACCTTCTTTTCACGGGTGTGTTTGACCGGTTATTTTTATGTTTCACTCAATTCTGTGGCAGTTTCCATTGTTTGAATTATGATAGCGGAGCACCCTGAGTAATAAAATTTGGCTATCTATACATCCGAGAAAATTCGGTAATCACGTGACCGTATGCCCGTCCACCCGTCCATCCGCACCACAGGGAAACCACTGTGAAATTTCATTTTCTAGCAAGTGTGGCAACCTGCATTAAACTTCCATACTAAGCTTAATTGACAGCTGTCAAAACAGGGTATCTGCTGACTAGTATCACATGACCGTATCGGGGGCTCAGATGTCAACGCATCTACAATCATGGACAAAAGTCTTGGGACACTTCTGGGGCATTTTCCAATTCACACAGGCCCTGCAGCCCCTCCCCTTATTTGTAATGGTAACAGGACTGAGTGAAGTCCAATTTGGTCTGTAATCATACGAGTGATTAACAAAATCAGACGACCGCGTAGCGGGAGTCCGATTTGTTTAATCACGAGTATGATTACAGACTGAATTGGACAACACGAAGTTCTGTTACCAATTAATCATAACTTTAACAAAATTTGTGATATATGAGGCTCTTTTTTTAATCAAAAGACAAGAAATTCCGCGATTTTTTTTGCTAGCAGTGAAAAAAAAAGCCATTTAAGCGCGCGCGTGATGGCGCGTACTGTCCAATTACTTAGGCATGATGCATACTGTCCTATTTAACTGTCCTATTAAGGCTGAAATCAGGGCAGCTGATAGCCAATCAGATTTAAGAATTTTGTTATAGTTATGATTACACAAGTAATTATCATTGCAATATTTAAAAAAATGACTCCTGGGTTCAAACCTTTCACAATATTTAAACAGGAGCTTCACTTTTAGCTCTGGCTAAATCTATCTATTAAAATTTGGTGACACAGTTCCTTTAATACAGGTCTGATTGTGTGTGTGTCTATATGTTTTAACAAAGTTTCTTATCAAGAAAAAGATCAAATACCTGCTCAGGATAAACACTTCCTTTTACTTCAGCCACAGTGTTCCTAGACACTGCCGGTGGTAGTGTCTTGGCCTCCATTTTCAAGTTAACCACAATCTTTGTTCCTCGAGCAGCCATCCTTGTCATCATTTCTGCATCTTCCACTGTTATGCAAGCTGTAGGGATCTTCTTTACACCTGTGCATGACAAACAAACAAATCAACAAAAAAAGTTGAAGAAAACAAAGCAAACCGCACCCCCAAGGGCTATACTCAAGTATTACACCAAAGTGTGAGGCACTCACGAACTTCTTTAGAGTGAAATTTAGGTTTCAAGCATTTCTTGAGTAGCAGGAAAAATGAGGAATATTCTTGTGAGGCATGGTGGGATTGTGGGTTTGTGGAAGATTATTCTTTCAGTGGTCTTATAGCTGTCATTTCTTAACGCCACTATCCTTTGCTCTATTCTATTTGAAAATGACACAGTTCTCTCAATTTTCAGTTTTTTCAATGGAATTTTCAGGTAAACTTCAAATGGCGTTTTGCTTTTTTCTCCCGCCTCCTTGAAAAAATCATGCTCATTCTGGCATGGTTTGAAAGCTCGATCTCTTCCCCCTGCAAATGTCAGATGACAAAGTTGTCCTTGCTGTTAAAAACTGGTGACAACACAAGGGGTAAGAAGGGAAATGGATCAGCATTGGTCACGATAGGTGGTTTAGAGACGGATGGGTTTAACCACTTGACATAAAACACTTGAGAAGTGCAAAAAGAACTCGCTTGCAGCTTCTCATCACTGTTCCTAAAAATTTGCACAAACTGACATACATGTCACTAAAAACACAGTCGATGACGTTTTGCCAAAATCCACATTACCTCCTTGATAATCTTGCCAGCCAGTGTGAGGAGAGTAGATGGAGAAGGGTGTCACAGAGCGGATAAGAGAAGCTACTGCCCCAAGCTTAGCAGCCTCGGAAGCACCACGATCACGATAGATCACCGAAGTACCATAATCCACCCACTTCTCATTATATACCACTATCTTACCCTTTACCTGACGGTATAAAAAAGATAACATACTGAATGATAAATACAAGTGCATTTTGAGTACTAGTCATGAGATCTCAATAACAAGTTTCGAACTTTTAGTACACACATGTTCATAAGAAAATCCGGGGGTGACTCCGCATATGGAAGGGGTGGGAATGCTCATCAAAAATTTTGAATTAAACCCCTAAAGGAGACCGATCTGGGCATGGCTCAAGCTTTTTTTGACCCCTAAAAGAGATCATGTTAAAACACAGACAATATAATATATTTTTATATTTTATCTTGTGCAACCCTAAACAAGTCCTTCACAGCTACATATGATGGCGTTTTGCCCAGAACACCCTAAGTGAGACCAAATCCGAAATTTACACCCCTAAGTGAAACGACGAGCATCCCCACTGCTTTCATATGCAGAGCCCCCGGGAAGAAAATACCTGAGCAGCTTTTTCATGAAGTTCATCAAATGATTGGACAACCAGAACTTCAGCGGTAATGCCATCTGGAGTTGTACCAACACTGCCACCCAAGCCAAGCAATGCGATGGGATATTTCCTTGGCAATATCATTTGCGCTGATTCTTTACCTCGCACCCAATGTGTCACATTTACTTCCTCACCATGCACATTATCCAGTTGATCTTGCTGTAATTCTTCCAGCATGTAATCTATCGCATGTTCCAGATTCGTGGAACCTGCAATACGGCTGCCAAAAGTGTCCACGAATGTTGCCAACCTTTTGTATACTTGGTGTTTTCCTGGGCCTTTGGTTAAGAAGTCTATAATCTTGTTGGCATCGTCTCTGAGGCTTTCTATTTCATCTTTCAGCTTATGGCTTTTAAACTTATGTGAGGCTTGTTTGGTTGCAGTCATTGCAAATGAAATTGCACATAAATATATAGATATGATGATTTGCCCTGTGGTCCACCAAGCCATGCTTTTCCTGTTAGAGTAAGTTTTACATGTATAAACTTAAAAAGGTGTTTTAAAAAGGTTGTAACATTTCACCCAGGGAGTACAAGTTCATCAAATATTTAATCTGACCTGGGCTGCAGTAATTTGTTTTAAAATAGTACGACACAAACCCAGAAATTTGGCAAAAATACTTGTCTTATTCTAAGGAACTCATTCAGTACCAGTTGTGATGGATATTTTCTAACTGATTCTAATCAAAACTTGGAAAACACCAAGGAGGGGTCTTAGCTATTTACCGCCCATAATTTTAATGTGTGCAAGTATGAAGAAATTCATTTGATACGTGCATTTATTCTATAAACACCAACGAAATACCAGGTGAGCTTTCGCGCGAAAACGTGATATCTTCACACAGGTGAAAATATCACCGCGCCTTTCGCAGGATAAAACTGTTTCAGTGAAATGGTTTGGTATTTCATTGGTGTTTATATAATAAATAGAACCTTATATGGCCGCTTGGAGATACAAAATTTCTCTTCTCGAGTAGTGAAATACTTTCAGCACTCAAAGAGAAATTTCGTATCTCTGCGAGGCCATGTAATATCCTCTATATGCTTGACAACATTAGAAGAAGACAAAAGAAAAATGATTACTACTCGATCGGCTGTACTGAGGTCACGTGAGGAAATTGTAAACTTAGTTCATAATTCATTTCCGCATATACATTACAATCAAGTCATCAGTAACTGCGGATAAATACAATTTTTTTGAAAATGAATCTGTTTAGCTCAATCCTTCTACCAGTATAGCCCAGTGGAATTAAGTTACAATTAACTTACTCATCCGTTAGGAAACCTGTTACTTTATTCAGCTGCTTTGTTCAAGTGAAAAGCGCTACGGGTGATTCTCATTATGGCAGGGGCACCCAACGACAATTTTCGGGAAAATATCTGTTCGGAAGACGATTTTAGATCTAGAATTTTCGGAACATTCGTTGTAAAATTTCTTGCTTGCCTGCTTCTCCAAGGATTTTCGAACATCTAAAATATGGTATAATTGCCTATTTTAACGGATTTTTACCCTAAAAAGGTCACCTTTTTTCTGGCTGAAATTTTCGAAAAGGTAAGTTTTGATCCCTATAATTTTCGGATCACTAGACTTTCACCTAGGAAATCCGAACAGATGAAAAATTTTTAGGGGATAAAAATATGCCTATATCTACCGTTTAAATACCAAAATACGTTTAATAATGCTATTTTTTAAGTGGTTTTGAACTATATTCTCGTTGGGTGCCCCTGTTATGGTCATACAACTGATACAGTGATCCCTATTTATTAAAGTAAAGGTGCCAAAATTACCTTACCTTTGAGCTTGAAGGTACAATATGAATGAGAAGAACGTTAACAACAAAAAAAAATCCTCAGCGAATGTCCTCAAGACTGAAAACGGCCGACATTTTGGAATGAAGCGGAGATTTACGCGTGATGACTGCCTAGAAAATTGGCAAGCTGTTATTGATGGTCATGTGATTTTGCCGCTGAAGGAATCCGGACTCTGAAATCTGGGATCCTTTGCTGTGGAATCTGCAAGTTCTGGCCCCGGTTCCTGAAAGGCCGATTAGCGCTAATCCAGCATTAAAATGATGTTATCATCATTGAGTCTCGGAGTAAAGACAAAACATTATTTTGTAAGCTCGAGTGACATGTTCTTAGACAAGAAAACCTTGCTTAAAATTTGGCTTATAAATTCTGGGTTATAAAACTTAACCATCTTTCGAGGAACCGGGCCCTGGGCTTTGGAATCCGAAATACAGCTCAACGAATTCAGAATCCCACTAACCACTGGAATTCGGAATTCATGTTCCACTGACAAAGAATCCAGAACCCAGGACCTGGAATCGGAGGGACTGAATTTGCCTTTATGTAAAAGAAGAAATTTGAAAAACAAGGTTAGGCCCTGTCCACCTGAATCAGGGCAGGCTGAATTCTAAAACCGCATGCCTAACTGAGCGCTTCGCTTTTCGCAGAGAAGCGAGGGCGAAACGCGAGTGTTTGGTGACGAATGATTGAAGCGCTTCCTTTGCGCGCATCGAGGGAGGGACGGTCTAGGTACGAGGCAGTCGAATGACGGTCGACCTTGCCACCTTGGAGAGCATTGGCTTTCTTGGCTAGTTCCTGTACGGCGGCTTCTCAGACCTCTCGCTCCTGTTCTCAGTCGCAATGCATTTCGGTGAACCGGGAAATAACTGTCTCTGACCACGTCGGCCGCGCGCAATAATGAGAGAAACGAGGGTCATGGAGAGGTTCGATTTTCGATCCGAGAGATCTCCTCTATTGCGCATACTTACTACTCATGCGTGGAGACAAAAGCGTGAGCTCTGGGATCGAGAATGGGAGGGGTTCCTAACGCTTTGTCTATTCTCATCAAGTTTGTCATGGAAACTATTTGAAACTGAACTGATTTTCGTGTATGAATGCATGGTCGGCCGGATAAAACACTCTTTCATCATGTGTTTGATATGTCGCTGATATTATATTTACTCTCTGGGTAGCATATCATCTAGATCAGCTACACAATAAGCCACTACAGCCCACACTGCAGCACAAAGATCCAAAGTATCAGGGTCTTCTACCGTCATAGTGTCGCCATTTGTATGATGAAAATAAAAGTACTTTCCATTGGCGTTATCTAGGGATCCACCTGGAACCCCATCAAGAGTCCACCATTCAATATCACCATCAACGTTGGTCTCAGTGAGCTTGGAGGCATTTATTACCTCCAGAAGACTCATGATCTCTTTCATCACCAGAGTGGCATTTTCAGTGCCCTCAAAGCTTATGCCTAAAGGTGTAAATGTTCCAACGTCTGACTCCATTACCAAGCTAAAGTTACTGGCGTTTGCCTTATGACGGTTGTAATACTGTTGAGCACCAAAATGACCTTCTTCTTCGCCTGTCCAAAGCACCAAACGCATTGTGCGTTTTGGTTTAAGGTTCAACTGACGGACTACTGACAGGGCTTGCCATGAAATAAACGCCCCTCCTCCATCATCCATTGCACCCTGGCCCACATCCCAGCTGTCTAGATGTCCACTTACAAGAACAACCTACATTAAAGGAAACAAAATGATTTTTGCTGCAATTAAAATTGATGATATCTTCCTAAGAGGGATTTTTTACAACAAAGGTGGCAAGGATTCCCTCGTCTAAACTTGTTTGCTGTGTTGCTAGTTCTTGTTCTTCCTTTTTGTTTCGGCGTAATTTAAGATTTGCGTAAGACGCACTGGACAAAAAATCGGTCATTTATTCAGATCATTATTTAAACCCCCTGTTCAACACTGTCAAAAATGTCCTCTTTACCTAAGATACAAATAAGGGGACAATGAGATCATTTAACAGCAATCGGCACTAGGGACAAAATTATAAACATAAACATAAGATTAAGCAGAAAGAAGTCCGGGGGGGAGCACTCGACAATGGGGAGGCTTTAGTCTCAGCCACAAGTTGCTCGGCAACTTTCTGGCAACTTTTGCCATTTGTTCGAATTTGGAGCAACTTTTCACGGCGGATTTTGGGGGCAACTACGTTGTTATCAACTTATGGGAATTACAAAGTCCTCTGATACTGTTTAAACCTTTTAAAACATCACAGAAATAAAATTCCAGGTCTTTGATGTTATAAATAACAAATAACAACGTGGGAATTCAGCCTTGTGCGCCACCCTTCCCCCTCTCAGTTTGAGGTCAATGGTTTGCAAATAAAAACACGTTTTCCAAAATGGCGACTTACATGTCTCAATGAAAACGACCCTATCAGAGCAGGAGAATGCACTTGCACTTAGAAAAGTCCAGCAACTTCGGGCAACTTTGAAGAATTTTGGGCAATTTTTAAGAAATTTTGGAGCAACTTGGGGCTAAGGTTAAGCCCCTTCCGAGGTCCACCTGGCCCCTTACACTTTTATATACCCGTTCTTGGCAGAAAAGGTTTTACAGACCGAAATGACAGATTTCTTCACCCTTTCATACACCTGAAGTCTAAAAAAGGTACCTTCCCGTATAGGCCATCGTAGAGAGTATCCACCGGGAAAGAAGTCTCTACTTCCTATAACTTGTCAAGCATAACATAATAAAATAAGCAGGACACTAGTTGTAGCCAAAGAATGAATCCAACAAGGCGGACAAATAACGATTTTGTGAAAACTCTTGATACTTGTGCTTGTACTTGTGCCAGTCAAGGTGTATGTTAAAGTGATCGGTTATTTATAGTCCTCAACGTTAAGCGCCTCATACAGGTTTGATTGTAAGTGCGCGTTTCTGTCAGCGCTTTTAACAACGTTTAATTTCTTATCAGCTGAAGAAAAAAATAAAATACCTGTTCAGGATAAACACTTCCTTTTACTTCAGCCACGGTGTTCCTAGATATTGCAGGTGGTAACATTTTGGCCTCCATTTTTAAGTTAATCACTATCTTTGTTCCTTGAGCAGCCATCCTTGCCATCATTTCTGTATCTTCCACTGTTATACACGCTGAGGGGATCTTCTTTACACCTTTATAAAACAAGTAAGCCACACCCATTTCAAAACGAACTTGCCACTATTTACCAAAGCTTTCTTACTCTCACTGGTAATTTACCTTTTTGATAATCTTGCCAGCCAGTGTGAGGAGAGTAGATGGAGAGTGGCGTAACAGAGCGGATGAGAGACGCTACTGCCCCAAGCTTAGCAGCCTCGGAAGCACCACGATCACGATAGATCACCGTAGTATCATAATCCACCCACTTTTCATTATACACCACTATTTTACCCTTTACCTGTAAAAAATAGACAAAGTATGATAAATAACAGAGCTGTATAAGTACTACATGAGTTCATAATAATATATTTCTATACATTTTTCTTAAAGTGGAACCTTCCGTAAGCGACCACCAGAAATTTGAAAATTTACGGGTCGCTTAGGAGAATCGAACCACGGGGGGTCTCTCCTCAAAAGAGGACTGGACACATCTACTTTTAGTTACGTTATGTGTAGTCTCATGTTCCCACTAAAAGTTCTTCTTATACTCTATAACAGCGAGGTCTACGTAAGGTCTAGCACACTCGGCAATAGGGAACTTAAGATAGAGACGTTTTCGGGGCGACGGCAACTTCAACCGGACGTGACATCATCATTTGTTGGATATTGTGCATGCTCGTGCTCACCACCTTGTCGTCGTGGTCCCGTCGGCGACGTGAAACTGGTCTGTTTGGCGTTGTGACGAAAACGTGAGTATTTAACTTTCATTTCAATCAAGTTTGTTGCGTTTAGCATGGATAATAGTCTTTCTATTATCCATGCGTTTAGCAACCAAAATTTTTCAGATTATCGTTCTTAAATTGTCCTTGTTTTCTTTGAGGGACATTTCAAGCTCGATTTCCAAGCTCTGTTAGCTAAATGTTTCTATGTTTTCATGTCACAGGGTCAAGATCCAACTTGGCAAACAGCCAACCGTAAGTGAGCTTGACATGGACAAACTTGTCGTACGAGCTAAATAAAAGTATCCAGACAAAAAATATGAACTCCGATATTTTAATTGAGTGTTTTTAGCTCGCTCTTTTCGTTAGAATATCGTATAAATGAAACGCATTGAAATTATATAGAATAGTAGGTAATACCATGTACTAACGTGGGAATACTGAAATAAAGTTGTTGCCGTCGTTGTTGTTCTTGCATGCAAGTATTTTCCGCCAATTATTTCAATACCAAACTAAGAATACGGTTCCTTGGTAGCATTTTAATGTTCCTGTAATTTGCAAGGCTTCGGCAAGCCTGTGGAGATCATTTTTGTTTCAGCACGAAATTCTGCCTTGCGCTCAGCTGCAAAGAGTTGTAATTATAACTCGCTGTTTGCCAACTGTCCCGAGGAAAATCGGGGTGTTTGGACTCATAATTTTCCCACAAAACAAGAAACTCTTAATCCGATACATGTTGTCTGCATAGCATGTATTTATTCTCTTAATTCTCTATGTGAAACCATAGTTTCCTCTTCGGCATTCTTCTAATTAAAGGCACCATCCTCCTGAGTTCACTGCGGTCATAATGTTCGATTTTTGACGGGAAGCGACGGCTGCCTCAGTTCCAGGCTTTCTCTAGGTGTCCGGTCGCCGTCGCCCCGAAAACGTCTCCATCTTAAGTTCCCTAACGTTGTCACCGTTTTCACCGTTGTCACTGTTGTCACTGTTGTCACCGTTGTCACCGTTGTCATCGTTGTCACTGTTGTCACTGTTGTCATCGTTGTCACTGTTGTCTCTGTTCTCATCGTTGTCACTGTTGTAACTGTTGTCACCGTTGTCACCGTTGTCACTATTGTCACTGTTGTCATCCTTGTCATCCTTGTCACCGCTGACACTGTTGTCAATGTTCTCACTGTTGTCACCGTTGTCACTGTTGTCACCGTTGTCACCGTTGTCACTGTTGTCACTGTTGCCACCGTTGTCATCGATGTCACTGTTGTCACCGTTGTTACCATTGTCACTGTTGTCACTGTTGTCACCGTTGTCATCGTTGTCACTGTTGTTACTGTTGTCATCGTTGTCACTGTTGTCACTGTTGTCACCATTGTCACTGTTGTCACTGTTGTCACTGTTGTCGCTCTTGTCACTGTTGTCATCGTTGTCACTGTTGTAACTGTTGTCACCGTTGTCACAGTTGTCCCTGTTGTCATCGTTGTCATCGTTGTCATCGTTGTCACTGTTGTAACTGTTGTCACCGTTCTCACTGTTGTCAACGTTGTCACTGTTGTCAGTGTTGTCAGTGTTGTCACTGATGTCGCTCTTGTCACTGTTGTCATCCTTGTCACTGTTGTAACTGCTGTCACCATTGTCACTGTTGTCACCGTTGTCACCGTTGTCACTGTTGTCACTGTTGTCATCGTTGTCATCGTTGTCACTGTTGTCACTGTTGTCACCATTGTCATCGTTGTCACTGTTGTCAGCGTTGTCACTGTTGTCACTGTTCTCATCGTTGTTGCTGTTGTCACCGTTGTGATCGTTGTCACTGTTGTCACTCTTGACATCGTTGTCATCGTTGTCACTGTTGTCACTGTTGTCATCGTTGTCACTGTTGTCACTGTTGTCACCGTTGTCACCGTTGTAACTGTTGTCAGTGTTGTCATCGTTGTCATCCTTGTCACCGCTGTCACTGTTGTCAATAGTCTCACTGTTGTCACCGTTGTCACTGTTGTCACTGTTGTCACTATTGTCACTGTTGTCATCGTTGTCATCCTTGTCACCGCTGTCACTGTTGTCAATGTTCTCACTGTTGTCACCGTTGTCACTGTTGTCACTGTTGTCACCGTTGTCACCGTTGTCACTGTTGTCACTGTTGCCACCGTTGTCATCGTTGTCACTGTTGTCACCGTTGTTACCGTTGTCACTGTTCTCACTGTTATCACCGTTCTCATCGCTGTCACTGCTGTCACTGTTGTCACCGTTGTCATCGTTGTCACTGTTGTCACCGTTGTCATCGTTGTCACTGTTGTCACTGTTGTAATCGTTGTCACTGTTGTCACCGTTGTCACTGTTGTCACTGTTGTCACTGATGTCGCTCTTGTCACTGTTGTCATCGTTGTCACTGTTGTAAGTGATGTCACCGTTGTCACAGTTGTCCCTGTTGTCATCGTTGTCATCGTTGTCACTGTTGTAACTGTTGTCACCGTTGTCACTGTTGTCAACATTGTCACTGTTGCCATCGTGGTCATTGTTCTCACTGTTGTAACTGTTGTCACCGTTCTCACTGTTGTCAACGTTGTCACTGTTGTCACTGTTGTCACTGTTGTCACTGATGTCGCCCTTGTCACTGTTGTCATCCTTGTCACTGTTATAACTGCTGTCACCATTGTCACTGTTGTCACCGTTGTCACCGTTGTCACTGTTGTCACTGTTGTCACTGTTGTCACCGTTGTCACTGTTGTCACTGATGTCACCGTTGTCAGCGTTGTCACTGTTGTCACTGTTCTCATCGTTGTCACTGTTGTCACCGTTGTGATCGTTGTCACTATTGTCACTCTTGACATCGTTGTCATCGTTGTCACTGTTGTCATCGTTGTCACTGTTGTCACTGTTGTCACTGTTATCACCGTTGTCACCGTTGTCACTGTTGTCATTGTTGTCACCTTTGTCATCGTTGTCACTGTTGTCACTGTTGTCACCGCTGTCACTGTTGTCTCTGTTCTCATCGTTGTCACTGTTGTAACTGTTGTCACCGTTCTCACTGTTGTCAACGTTGTCACTGTTGTCACTGTTGTCACCGTTGTCAGTGTTGTCACTGTTGTCACTGATGTCGCTCTTGTCACTGTTGTCATCCTTGTCACTGTTGTAACTGCTGTCACCATTGTCACTGTTGTCACCTTTGTCACCGTTGTCACTGTTGTCACTGTTGTCATCGTTGTCATCGTTGTCACTGTTGTCACTGTTGTCACCATTGTCATCGTTGTCACCGTTGTCACTGTTGTCACTGATGTCACCGTTGTCACCGTTGTCACTGTTGTCACTGTTGTCACTATTGTCACTGTTGTCATCGTTGTCATCCTTGTCACCGCTGACACTGTTGTCAATGTTCTCACTGTTGTCACCGTTGTCACTGTTGTCACTGTTGTCACCGTTGTCACCGTTGTCACTGTTGTCACTGTTGCCACCGTTGTCATCGTTGTCACTGTTGTCACCGTTGTTACCGTTGTCACTGTTGTCACTGTTATCACCGTTGTCATCGTTGTCACTGTTGTCACTGTTGTCACCGTTGTCATCGTTGTCACTGTTCTCACCGTTGTCATCGTTGTCACTGTTGTCACTGTTGTCATCGTTGTCACTGTTGTCACTGTTGTCACTGTTGTCACCGTTGTCACTGTTGTCACTGTTGTCACTGATGTCGCTCTTGTCACTGTTGTCATCGTTGTCACTGTTGTAAGTGATGTCACCGTTGTCACAGTTGTCCCTGTTGTCATCGTTGTCATCGTTGTCACTGTTGTAACTGTTGTCACCGTTGTCACTGTTGTCAACATTGTCACTGTTGCCATCGCTGTCATTGTTCTCACTGTTGTAACTGTTGTCACCGTTCTCACTGTTGTCAACGTTGTCACTGTTGTCACTGTTGTCACTGTTGTCACAGATGTCGCTCTAGTCACTGTTGTCATCGTTGTCACTGTTATAACTGCTGTCACCATTGTCACTGTTGTCACCGTTGTCACCGTTGTCACCGTTCTCACTGTTGTCACTGTTGTCACCGTTGTCACTGTTGTCACTGATGTCACCGTTGTCAGCGTTGTAACTGTTGTCACTGTTCTCATCGTTGTCACTGTTGTCACCGTTGTGATCGTTGTCACTGTTGTCACTCTTGACATCGTTGTCATCGTTGTCACTGTTGTCACTGTTGTCATCGTTGTCACTGTTGTCACTGTTGTCACTGTTATCACCGTTGTCACCGTTGTCACTGTTGTCATTGTTGTCACCTTTGTCATCCTGTTGTCACTGTTGTCACCGCTGTTACTGTTGTCTCTTTTCTCATCGTTGTCACTGTTGTAACTGTTGTCACCGTTGTCACCGTTGTCACTATTGTCACTGTTGTCATCGTTGTCATCCTTGTCACCGTTGACACTGTTGTCACCGTTGTCACTGTTGTCACCGTTGTCACTGTTGTCACTGTTGTCACCGTTCTCATCGTTGTCACTGTTGTCACCGTTGTCACCATTGTCACTGTTGTCACTGTTTTCACCGTTGTCATCGTTGTCACTGTTGTCACTGTTGTCACCATTGTCACTGTTGCCACTGTTGACACCGTTGTCATCGTTGTCCCTGTTGTCACTGTAATCACTGTTGTCAATATTGTCACTGTTGTCACCGTTGTCATCTTTGTCACTGCTGTCACTGTTGTCACCGTTGTCACTGTTGTCACCGTTGTCACTGTTGTCACTGTTGTCACCGTTGTCACCATTCTCACTGTTGTCACCGTTGTCATCGTTGTCACTGTTGTCACCGTTGTCACTGTTGTCACCGTTGTCACCGTTGTCACTGTTGTCACTGTTGTCACCGTTGTCATCGTTCTCACTGTTGTCACCGTTGTCACCGTTGTCACTGTTGTCACTATTGTCACCGTTGTCATCGTTGTCACTGTTGTCTCTGTTGTCACCGTTGTCACTGTTGTCACCGTTGTCACCGTTGTCACCGTTGTCACTGTTGTCACCGTTGTCACCGTTGTCACTGTTCTCACTGATGTCACCGTTGTCAGCGTTGTCACTGTTGTCACTGTTCTCATCGTTGTCACTGTTGTCACCGTTGTGATCGTTGTCACTATTGTCACTCTTGACATCGTTGTCATCGTTGTCACTGTTGTCATCGTTGTCACTGTTGTCACTGTTGTCACTGTTATCACCGTTGTCACCGTTGTCACTGTTGTCATTGTTGTCACCTTTGTCATCGTTGTCACTGTTGTCACTGTTGTCACCGCTGTCACTGTTGTCTCTGTTCTCATCGTTGTCACTGTTGTAACTGTTGTCACCGTTCTCACTGTTGTCAACGTTGTCACTGTTGTCACTGTTGTCACCGTTGTCAGTGTTGTCACTGATGTCACCGTTGTCACCGTTGTCACTGTTGTCACTGTTGTCACTATTGTCACTGTTGTCATCGTTGTCATCCTTGTCACCGTTGTCACCGTTGTCACTGATGTCACCGTTGTCACCGTTGTCACTGTTGTCACTGTTGTCACTATTGTCACTGTTGTCATCGTTGTCACCCTTGTCACCGCTGACACTGTTGTCAATGTTCTCACTGTTTTCACCGTTGTCACTGTTGTCACTGTTGTCACCGTTGTCACCGTTGTCACTGTTGTCACTGTTGCCACCGTTGTCATCGTTGTCACTGTTGTCACCGTTGTTACCGTTGTCACTGTTGTCACTATTATCACCGTTGTCATCGTTGTCACTGTTGTCACTGTTGTCACCGTTGTCATCGTTGTCACTGTTGTCACCGTTGTCATCGTTGTCACTGTTGTCACTGTTGTCATCGTTGTCACTGTTGTCACTGTTGTCACTGTTGTCACCGTTGTCACTGTTGTCACTGTTGTCACTGATGTCGCTCTTGTCACTGTTGTCATCGTTGTCACTGTTGTAAGTGATGTCACCGTTGTCACAGTTGTCCCTGTTGTCATCGTTGTCATCGTTGTCACTGTTGTAACTGTTGTCACCGTTGTCACTGTTGTCAACATTGTCACTGTTGCCATCGCTGTCATTGTTCTCACTGTTGTAACTGTTGTCACCGTTCTCACTGTTGTCAACGTTGTCACTGTTGTCACTGCTGTCACTGTTGTCACAGATGTCGCTCTTGTCACTGTTGTCATCGTTGTCACTGTTATAACTGCTGTCACCATTGTCACTGTTGTCACCGTTGTCACCGTTGTCACCGTTCTCACTGTTGTCAATGTTGTCACCGTTGTCACTGTTGTCACTGATGTCACCGTTGTCAGCGTTGTAACTGTTGTCACTGTTCTCATCGTTGTCACTGTTGTCACCGTTGTGATCGTTGTCACTGTTGTCACTCTTGACATCGTTGTCATCGTTGTCACTGTTGTCACTGTTGTCATCGTTGTCACTGTTGTCACTGTTGTCACTGTTATCACCGTTGTCACCGTTGTCACTGTTGTCATTGTTGTCACCTTCGTTATCGTTGTCACTGTTGTCACTGTTGTCACCGCTGTTACTGTTGTCTCTTTTCTCATCGTTGTCACTGTTGTAACTGTTGTCACCGTTGTCACCGTTGTCACTATTGTCACTGTTGTCATCGTTGTCATCCTTGTCACCGCTGACACTGTTGTCACCGTTGTCACTGTTGTCACCGTTGTCACTGTTGTCACTGTTGTCACCGTTCTCATCGTTGTCACTGTTGTCACCGTTGTCACCGTTGTCACTGTTGTCACTGTTTTCACCGTTGTCATCGTTGTCACTCTTGTCACTGTTGTCACCATTGTCACTGTTGCCACTGTTGACACCGTTGTCATCGTTGTCACTGTTGTCACTGTTGTCACTGTTGTCACTATTGTCACTGTTGTCACCGTTGTCATCGTTGTCACTGTTGTCACTGTTGTCACCGTTGTCACTGTTGTCACCGTTGTCACTGTTGTCACTGTTGTCACCGTTGTCACCATTCTCACTGTTGTCACCGTTGTCATCGTTGTCACTGTTGTCACCGTTGTCACTGTTGTCACCGTTGTCACCGTTGTCACTGTTGTCACTGTTGTCACCCTTGTCATCGTTCTCACTGTTGTCACCGTTGCCACCGTTGTCACTGTTGTCACTATTGTCACCGTTGTCATCGTTGTCACTGTTGTCTCTGTTGTCACCGTTGTCACTATTGTCACCGTTGTCACCGTTGTCACCGTTGTCACTGTTGTCACCGTTGTCACCGTTGTCACTGTTGTCACTGTTGTCACCGTTGTCAGCGTTGTCACTGTTGTCACTGTTCTCATCGTTGTCACTGTTGTCACCGTTGTGATCGTTGTCACTATTGTCACTCTTGACATCGTTGTCATCGTTGTCACTGTTGTCATCGTTGTCACTGTTGTCACTGTTATCACCGTTGTCACCGTTGTCACTGTTGTCATTGTTGTCACCTTTGTCATCGTTGTCACTGTTGTCACTGTTGTCACCGCTGTCACTGTTGTCTCTGTTCTCATCGTTGTCACTGTTGTAACTGTTGTCACCGTTCTCACTGTTGTCAACGTTGTCACTGTTTTCACTGTTGTCACCGTTGTCAGTGTTGTCACTGTTGTCACTGATGTCGCTCTTGTCACTGTTTTCATCCTTGTCACTGTTGTAACTACTGTCACCATTGTCACTGTTGTCACCGTTGTCACCGTTGTCACTGTTGTCACTGTTGTCATCGTTGTCATCGTTGTCACTGTTGTCACTGTTGTCACCATTGTCATCGTTGTCACCGTTGTCACTGTTGTCACTGATGTCACCGTTGTCACCGTTGTCACTGTTGTCACTGTTGTCACTATTGTCACTGTTGTCATCGTTGTCATCCTTGTCACCGCTGACACTGTTGTCAATGTTCTCACTGTTTTCACCGTTGTCACTGTTGTCACTGTTGTCACCGTTGTCACCGTTGTCACTGTTGTCACTGTTGCCACCGTTGTCATCGTTGTCACTGTTGTCACCGTTGTTACCGTTGTCACTATTGTCACTATTATCACCGTTGTCATCGTTGTCACTGTTGTCACTGTTGTCACCGTTGTCATCGTTGTCACTGTTGTCACCGTTGTCATCGTTGTCACTGTTGTCACTGTTGTCATCGTTGTCACTGTTGTCACTGTTGTCACTGTTGTCACCGTTGTCACTGTTGTCACTGTTGTCACTGATGTCGCTCTTGTCACTGTTGTCATCGTTGTCACTGTTGTAAGTGATGTCACCGTTGTCACAGTTGTCCCTGTTGTCATCGTTGTCATCGTTGTCACTGTTGTAACTGTTGTCACCGTTGTCACTGTTGTGAACATTGTCACTGTTGCCATCGCTGTCATTGTTCTTACTGTTGTAACTGTTGTCACCGTTCTCACTGTTGTCAACGTTGTCACTGTTGTCACTGTTGTCACTGTTGTCACAGATGTCGCTCTTGTCACTGTTGTCATCGTTGTCACTGTTATAACTGCTGTCACCATTGTCACTGTTGTCACCGTTGTCACCGTTGTCACCGTTGTCACTGTTGTCACTGTTGTCACCGTTGTCACTGTTGTCACTGATGTCACCGTTGTCAGCGTTGTAACTGTTGTCACTGTTCTCATCGTTGTCACTGTTGTCACCGTTGTGATCGTTGTCACTGTTGTCACTCTTGACATCGTTGTCATCGTTGTCACTGTTGTCACTGTTGTCATCGTTGTCACTGTTGTCACTGTTGTCACTGTTATCACCGTTGTCACCGTTGTCACTGTTGTCATTGTTGTCACCTTCGTCATCGTTGCCACTGTTGTCACTGTTGTCACCGCTGTTACTGTTGTCTCTTTTCTCATCGTTGTCACTGTTGTAACTGTTGTCACCGTTGTCACCGTTGTCACTATTGTCACTGTTGTCATCGTTGTCATCCTTGTCACCGCTGACACTGTTGTCACCGTTGTCACTGTTGTCACCGTTGTCACTGTTGTCACTGTTGTCACCGTTCTCATCGTTGTCACTGTTGTCACCGTTGTCACCATTGTCACTGTTGTCACTGTTTTCACCGTTGTCATCGTTGTCACTGTTGTCACTGTTGTCACCATTGTCACTGTTGCCACTGTTGACTTCGTTGTCATCGTTGTCACTGTTGTCACTGTTGTCACTGTTGTCACTGTTGTCAATATTGTCACTGTTGTCACCGTTGTCATCGTTGTCACTGCTGTCACTGTTGTCACCGTTGTCACTGTTGTCACTGTTGTCACCGTTGTCACCATTCTCACTGTTGTCACCGTTGTCATCGTTGTCACTGTTGTCACCGATGTCACTGTTGTCACCGTTGTCACCGTTGTCACTGTTGTCACTGTTGTCACCCTTGCCATCGTTCTCACTGTTGTCACCGTTGCCACCGTTGTCACTGTTGTCACTATTGTCACCGTTGTCATCGTTGTCACTGTTGTCTCTGTTGTCACCGTTGTCACTATTGTCACTGTTGTCACTGTTGTCACCGTTGTCATCGTTGTCAGTGTTGTCACCGTTGTCATCGTTGTCACTGTTGTCACTGTTGTCACCGTTGTCACTGTTGTCACTGTTGTCACTGTTGTCACCGTTGTCATTGTTGTCACTGTTGTCACTGTTGTCACCGTTGTCACCGTTGTCACTGTTGTCACCGTTGTCACCGTTGTCACTGTTGTCACTGTTGTCACCGTTCTCATCGTTGTCACTGTTGTCACCGTTGTCACCGTTGTCACTGTTGTCACTGTTTTCACCGTTGTCATCGTTGTCACTGTTGTCACTGTTGTCACCATTGTCACTGTTGCCACTGTTGTCACCGTTGTCATCGTTGTCACTGTTGTCACTGTTGTCACTGTTGTCAATATTGTCACTGTTGTCACTGTTGTCATCGTTGTCACTGCTGTCACCGTTGTTACCGTTGTCACTGTTGTCACTGTTGTCACCGTTGTCATCGTTCTCACTGTTGTCACTGTTGTCACCGTTGTCACCATTGTCAGTGTTGTCACCGTTGTCATCGTTGTCACTGTTGTTACCGATGTCACTGTTGTCACCGTTGTCACCGTTGTCACTGTTGTCACTGTTGTCACCCTTGTCATTGTTGTCACTGTTGTCACTATTGTCACCGTTGTCATCGTTGTCACTGTTGTCTCTGTTGTCACCGTTGTCACCATTTGTCACTGTTGTCACTGTTGTCACTGTTGTCACCGTTGTCACTGTTGTCACCGTTGTCACTGTTGTCACTGTTGCCACTGTTGTCACCGTTGTCATTGACGTCACTGTTGTAACTGTTGTCACCGTGTCACTGTTGTCATCGTTGTCATCGTTGTCACTGTTGTCACTGTTGTCATCGTTGTCACCGTTGTCACTGTTGTCACTGTTGTCACCGTTGTCACCGTTGTCACTGTTGTCACTGTTGTCACCCTTGTCATCGTTGTCACTGTTGTCACCGTTGCCACCGTTGTCACTGTTGTCACTATTGTCACCGTTGTCATCGTTGTCACTGTTGTCTCGGTTGTCACCGTTGTCACCATTGTCACTGTTGTCACTGTTCTCACCGTTGTCATCGTTGTCAGTGTTGTCACCGTTGTCATCGTTGTCACTGTTGTCACTGTTGTCTCTGTTGTCACTGTTGTCACTATTGTCACCGTTGTCATTGACGTCACTGTTGTCACTGTTGTCACCGTTGTCATTCACGTCACTGTTGTAACTGTTGTAACTGTTGTCATCGTTGTCACTGTTGTCTCTGTTGTCACCGTTGTCACCATTTGTCACTGTTGTCACTGTTGTCACTGTTGTCACCGTTGTCACTGTTGTCACCGTTGTCACTGTTGTCACTGTTGCCACTGTTGTCACCATTGTCACTGTTGTCACTGTTTTCACCGTGGTCATCCTTGTAACTTTTGTCACCATTGTCATCGTTGTCACTGTTGTAACTGTTGTCACCGTGTCACTGTTGTCATTGTGTTACTCTTGTCACTGTTGTCACCGTTGTCAACGTTGTCACTGTTGTCACTGTTGTCATCGTTGTCCCTGTTGTCACCGTTGTCACCATTGTCACTGTTGACACTGTTGTCACCATTGTCATCGTTGTCACTGTTGTCAGTGTTGGCACCGTTGTCACCATTGTCACTGTTGTCACTGTTGTCACCGTTGTCATCGTTGTCACTGTTGTCACCGTTGTCACCGTTGTCACTGTTGTCACTGTTGTCACCGAGGTCACTGTTGTCACTGTTGTCACTGTTGTCACCGTTGTCATTGACATCACTGTTCTAACTGTTGTCACCGTGTCACTGTTGTCACTGTTGTCATCGTTTTCATCGTTCTCACTGTTGTCACGGTTGTCACCGTTGTCATCGTTGTCAATGTTGTCACCGTTGTCAATGTTGTCATCGTTGTCACAGTTGTCACTGTTGTCACGGATGTCACCATTGTCAGCGGTGTCACTGTGTCATCGTTGTCACTGTTGTAACTGTTGTCACCGTTGTTCCCCTTGTCACTGTTGTCATCGTTATCACTGTTGTCACCGTTGTCACCGTTGTCACTGTTGTCACTGTTGTCACTGTTGTCACCGTTCTCATCGTTGTCACTGTTGTCATGGTTGTCATCGTTGTCACTGTTGTCATCGTTCTCACTGTTGTAACTGTTGCCATCGTTTTCACAGTTGTCACTTTTGTCACCGTTGTCACCGTTGTCAATATTGTCACTGTTTTCACCGTTGTCATCGTTGTCAGTGTTGTCATCATTGTCACTGTTTTAACTGTCGTCACTGTTGTCACCGTTGTCACTGTTGTCACTGTTGTCATCGTTGTCACTCTTGTCATCGTTGTCACTGTTGTCACTGTTGTCATCGTTGTCACTGTTGTCCGCGTTGTCATCGTTGTCACTGTTTTCACCGTTGTCATCGTTGTCACCGTTGTCACCGTTGTCACTGTTTTCACTGTTGTCATCGTTGTCAATGTTGTAACTGTTTTCATCGTTGTCACTGTTGTCACCCTTGTCATCGTTGTCACTGTTGTCACCGTTGTCACTGTTGTCACCCTTGTCATCGTTGTCAACGCTGTCACTGTTGTCATAGTTGTCACTGTTGTCACTGTTGTCACCGTTGTTACTGTTGTCACCGTTGTCACCGATGTCACCGTTCTCACTGTTTTCACTGTTGGCACTGTTGTCATCGTTGTCACTGTTGTCTCCGTTGGCATCCTTGTGTCTGTTGTCAGCGTTCTTACCGTTGTCATTGTTGTCACTGTTGTCACCGTTGTCATCATTGTCACTGTTGTCACCGTTGTCATCGTTGTCACTGTTGTCACCGTTGTCATCGTTGTCACTGTTGTCACCGTTGTCACCCTTTGTTACCGTTGTCACTGTTGTCACTGTTGTCACCGTTGTCTTCGTTTTCACTGTTGTGACTGTTGTCATCGTTGTCACTGTTGTCACTGTTGTCATCGTTGTCACCGTTGTCACCGTTGTCACTGTTTTCTCCGTTGTCATTGTTGTCATCGTTGTCACTGATGTCGCTCTTGTCACTGTTGTCATCGTTGTCACTGTTGTAACTGATGTCACCGTTGTCACAGTTGTCCGTGTTGTCACCGTTGTCATCGTTGTCACTGCTGTCACCGTTTTCACCGTTGTCACTGTTGTCACTGTCGTCACCGTTGTCATCGTTGTCACTGTTGTCACGGTTGTCACCCTTGTCACCATTGTCACTGTTGTCACCGTTGTCATCGTTCTCACTGTTGTCACCGATGTCACTGTTGTCACCGTTGTCACCGTTGTCACTGTTGTCACTGTTGTGACCCTTGTCATCGTTGTCACTGTTGTCACCGTTGTCACTGTTGTCACCCTTGTCATCGTTGTCAACGTTGTCACTGTTGTCATAGTTGTCACTGTTGTCACTGTTGTCACCGTTGTTACTGTTGTCACCGTTGTCACCGTTGTCACTGTTGTCACTGTTGGCACTGTTGTCATCGTTGTCACTGTTGTCTCTGTTGGCATCCTTGTGTCTGTTGTCAGCGTTCTTACCGTTGTCATTGTTGTCACTGTTGTCACCGTTGTCATCATTGTCACTGTTGTCACCATTGTCATCGTTGTCACTGTTGTCACCGTTGTCACTGTTGTCACCGTTGGCATCGTTATCACTGTCGTCACCCTTTGTTACCATTGTCACTGTTGTCACCGTTTTCTTCGTTTTCACTGTTGTCACTGTTGTCATCGTTGTCACTGTTGTCACTGTTGTCATCGTTGTCACTGTTGCCACCCTTCTCATCGTTGTCACTGTTGTCACCGTTGTCATCGTTGTCACTGTTTTCACCGTTGTCATCGTTGAGACTGTTGTCACTGTTGTCATCGTTGTCACCGTTGTCAACGTTGTCACTGTTTTCTCCGTTGTCACCGTTCTCACTGTTGTGACTGTTGTCATCGTTGTCACTGTTGTGACTGTTGTCATCGTTGTCACTGTTGTCACCCTTGTCATCGTTGTCACTGTTGTTGTCATCGTTGTCACCGTTGTCACTGTTGTCACCGTTGTCACTGTTGTCACCGTTGTCACCGTTGTCACCGTTGTCATTGTTGTCCCCGTTTTCACTGTTGTCACCGTTGTCACTGTTTTCACGTTGTTACCTTTTGTCACTGTTGTTGTCACCGTTGTCACCGTTGTCACCGTTGTCACTGTTGTCACTGTTGTCACCGTTGTCACTGTTGTCACTGTTGTCACCGTTTTCAGCGTTGTCACTGTTGTCACTCTTGTCATCGTTGTTACTGTTGTTGCCGTTGTCGCCATTGTCACTGTTGTCACTGTTGTCACCGTTGTCATCGTTGTCACTGTTGTCACCGTTGTCACTGTTGTCACTGTTGTCACCGTTGTCACCGTTGTCACTGTTGTCACTGTTGTCATCGTTGTCACTGTTGTTACCGTTGTCGCTGTTGTCACCGTTGTCATTGTTGTCACTGTTGTCACCGTTGTCATCGTTGTCACTGTTGTCATCGTTGTCACTGTTGTCACTGTTGTCATCGTTGTCACTGTTGTCACTGTTGTCATTGTTGTCACTGTTGTCACTGTTGTCACTGTTGTCACTGTTGTCGTTCTTGTCACTGTTGTCATCGTTGTCACTGTTGTAACTGTTGTCACCTTTGTCACTGTTGTCACCGTTGTCACTGTTGTGACCGTTGTCACCGTTCTCACTGTTGTCACCGTTGTCATCGTTGTTACTGTTGTCACTTTTGTCACCGTTTTCACTGTTGTCACTGTTGTCACTGATGTCGCTCTTGTCACTGTTGTCATCGTTGTCACTGTTGTAACTATTGTCACCGTTGTCACTGTTGTCACCGTTGTCACTGTTGTCACTGTTGTTATCGTTCTCATCGTTCTCACTGTTGTCACAGTTGTCACCTTTGTCATCGTTGTCAATGTTGTCACCATTGTCAGCGTTGTCACTGTTGTCACTGATGTCCCTCTTGTCACTGTGTCATCGTTGTCACTGTTGTAACTGTTGTCACCGTTGTCACTGTTGTCACCGTTGTCACTGTTGTCACCGTTGTCACCGTTGTCACTGTTGTCACTGTTTTCATCGTTGTCATCGTTCTCACTGTTGTAACTGTTGTCACTGTTGTCACCGTTTTCACTGTTGTCACTGTTGTCACCGTTGTCACTGTTCTCATCGTTGTCACTGTTTTCACCGTTGTCACCGTTGTAACTGTTGTCACTGTTGTCACCGTTGTCATCGTTGTCACTGTTTTCACCGTTGTCATCGTTGAGACTGTTGTCACTGTTGTCATCGTTGTCACCGTTGTCAACGTTGTCACTGTTTTCTCCGTTGTCACCGTTCTCACTGTTGTGACTGTTGTCATCGTTGTCACTGTTGTGACTGTTGTCATCGTTGTCACTGTTGTCACCCTTGTCATCGTTGTCACTGTTGTCACCGTTGTCATCGTTGTCACTGTTGTCACTGTTGTCATCGTTGTCACCGTTGTCATTGTTGTCCCTTTTTTCACCGTTGTCACCGTTGTCACTGTTTTCATCGTTGTTACTTTTGTCACTGTTGTTACCGTTTTCACTGTTGTCACCGTTGTCACCGTTGTCACCGTTGTCACCGTTGTCACTGTTGTCACTGTTGTCACGTTTCGTTGTCACTGTTGTCACTGTTGTCACCGTTTTCAGCGTTGTCACTGTTGTCACTCTTGTCATCGTTGTCACTGTTGTTGCCGTTGTCGCCATTGTCACTGTTGTCACTGTTGTCACCGTTGTCATCGTTGTCACTGTTGTCACCGTTGTCACTGTTGTCACTGTTGTCACTGTTGTCACCGTTGTCACCGTTGTCACTGTTGTCACTGTTGTCATCGTTGTCACTGTTGTTACCGTTGTCGCTGTTGTCACCGTTGTCATTGTTGTCACTGTTGTCACCGTTGTCATCGTTGTCACTGTTGTCATCGTTGTCACTGTTGTCACTGTTGTCATCGTTGTCACTGTTGTCACTGTTGTCATTGTTGTCACTGTTGTCACTGTTGTCACTGTTGTCACTGATGTCGTTCTTGTCACTGTTGTCATCGTTGTCACTGTTGTAACTGTTGTCACCTTTGTCACTGTTGTCACCGTTGTCACTGTTGTTGCCGTTGTCACCGTTCTCACTGTTGTCACCGTTGTCATCGTTGTTACTGTTGTCACTTTTGTCACCGTTTTCACTGTTGTCACTGTTGTCACTGATGTCGCTCTTGTCACTGTTTTCATCGTTGTCACTGTTGTAACTATTGTCACCGTTGTCACTGTTGTCACCGTTGTCACTGTTGTCACTGTTGTTATCGTTCTCATCGTTCTCACTGTTGTCACAGTTGTCACCGTTGTCATCGTTGTCAATGTTGTCACCATTGTCAGCGTTGTCACTGTTGTCACTGATGTCCCTCTTGTCACTGTGTCATCGTTGTCACTGTTGTAACTGTTGTCACCGTTGTCACTGTTGTCACTGTTGTCACCGTTGTCACTTTTGTCACTGTTTTCATCGTTGTCATCGTTCTCACTGTTGTAACTGTTGTCACCGTTGTCACCGTTGTCATCGTTGTTACTGTTGTCACTGTTGTCACCGTTTTCACTGTTGTCACTGTTGTCACCGTTGTCACTGTTGTCATCGTTGTCACTGTTTTCACCGTTGTCACCGTTGTAACTGTTGTCACTGTTGTCACCGTTGTCATCGTTGTCACTGTTGTCACTGTTTTCAATGTTGTCACTGTTGTCCCTCATGTCGCTCGTGTCACTGTTGTCATCGTTGTCACTGTTGTAACTTTTGTCACCGGTGTCACTGTTGTCACCGATGTCACTGTTGTCACTATTGTCATCATTGTCACTGTTGTAACTGTTGTCCCTGTTGTCACCGTTGTCACCGTTGTCACTGTTTTCACCTTTGTCACCATTGTCATCATTGTTACTGTTGTCAACTGGCCGTTGTCACCATTGTCAGCGTTGTCACTGTTGTCATTGTTGTCACCGTTGTCATTGTTGTCACTATTGTCACCGTTGTCATCGTTGTCACTGTTGTCATCGTTGTCACTGTTGTCACTGTTGTCATCGTTGTCACTGTTGTCACTGTTGTCATTGTTGTCACTGTTGTCACTGTTGTCACTGTTGTCACTGATGTCGTTCTTGTCACTGTTGTCATCGTTGTCACTGTTGTAACTGTTGTCACCTTTGTCACTGTTGTCACCGTTGTCACTGTTGTGACCGTTGTCACCGTTCTCACTGTTGTCACCGTTGTCATCGTTGTTACTGTTGTCACTTTTGTCACCGTTTTCACTGTTGTCACTGTTGTCACTGATGTCGCTCTTGTCACTGTTTTCATCGTTGTCACTGTTGTAACTATTGTCACCGTTGTCACTGTTGTCACCGTTGTCACTGTTGTCACTGTTGTTATCGTTCTCATCGTTCTCACTGTTGTCACAGTTGTCACCGTTGTCATCGTTGTCAATGTTGTCACCATTGTCAGCGTTGTCACTGTTGTCACTGATGTCCCTCTTGTCACTTTGTCATCGTTGTCACTGTTGTAACTGTTGTCACCGTTGTCACTGTTGTCACCGTTGTCACCGTTGTCACTGTTGTCACTGTTTTCATCGTTGTCATCGTTCTCACTGTTGTAACTGTTGTCACCGTTGTCACCGTTGTCATCGTTGTTAGTGTTGTCACTGTTGTCACCGTTTTCACTGTTGTCACTGTTGTCACCGTTGTCACTGTTGTCATCGTTG